TGATTGGAGTTAATATACATTTAGCAATTCCAAGCTAAGATAAGCTTTCACTAGATGACCCACATCAAAGTGGTAAATGTCATCATTTTTCAAGGGCACTTGTTGCGCGTCATGGTGACCACTTCACAAGGTCGTCGATAAAACTGCCGGCACAGATTGGTCAATTCTACAGATATAGTCGGACTGTTCAATTGTCTTTTGTTTGTCAACAACTGCACTTACAATGTGACACCAGCTTTAATATATGGTCCCAATAAAAGTATCATCCCATGATAATAACAATAGATAAACCTGCAATAGAGGTGCTTTCCTAAATCAACTACATCAATAATTGGTGATTTTTTTTTCCACATCAAACAAATTTCAAGCTGCACTTAACTAATTCTTCTTTCTGCAAAACATAACGAGAATTTAAACTGATTAATGAATGGCTCGATGTCTGACTTGTGAGTTCATACCTTGCTAACACACAACTGGAAAATAACAGCCAGTATAATTTGAAATTCACTGATTATTTTTTTGAAGAAAAAAAATTAGTAATACCAGTCAAATCTTTGAATCAATCTTTGAAGTTTTACATTTCAAAAGAAATTCAATTTGCCTCATTAATCCATCATCACCGTTTTTTTCTATCATCATAACGTTCTTTTTAAGGCTGCTCATGAAGTGTAAAATTAACCGCGATTAAAGTGTAACAAACCATATATACAATTTTTTTCGACACACAGAGCCAAAGTATTTACCTTGGATTAAAATTGTATACAAATCAGGAGCTATCCATCTAACCCAATACAGGGGTCATTTGAGAAAATCTGTTCATATTTCGATACTGAATCTTATTAAAAGCATCCAAAAGTTGCTAAAATAAACAATCCCAGCATGTGGAGAAGTAAAAGGGTCAAAGGTGGCCATTAAAATGTGTACCCGTGTCCATATTAAGACCACATTAGCAGTGCCGAACAATAACACCCATTTTCTTCTTCGTGCAGGTGATTGAAAAACTGAAATTAAAAGCTATTGAAAAAACGTCCCAAAGTGCCTCACACACGAAAAGGAAAGTTCATGTAGAGGGGGAACTTAATTTTCTCAACAATAAACAACAATACATAGTAGTGTGGCAACCAAAAGATGTGCGAGACAAACAGAGAGAGAATGTCATAATTTGGCTAATGGTCCTTTTTTTTGACACAAAGTTCAAAAATAAGAAATTTTTCATAACGCAAATCGAAATTTAATGAGACACGTCCCTCAAAATTAATCAAAAAGTGCGAAACTGGTGTTTTCATGACAACACCTGTATGAGCAATGATTCGCTCACAAAAGAAAAATGAGATCTACATATAACAGTTACTGAATCATGCGCAATTTGAATTAATAGGGGGTGTGTTTTGTTATTTCTAACTTTGGTTTTTGTAACAGTTCTTTGAAGTACCTGCTGAAGAGGATCAGAAAAAACAAGACCCTTAAGATATATTATTGCAACTAGAGTTGTCACAAACTGCTCTATTATTTTCTTTTGATCTTTTCCAAGATTTAAGGTGCAATCCTTGTTGTTTTTCCCCTGCAATCAGCCTCACAAGATTGCTAACTTTTGGTGATTCAGCACAAAATTAATTAAAGTTAAAAAATTTAAAAACAAGAAAAAATTGTTCTCGTTTTTTTCCGGAAGAAGGAGAAAAACAAAATTTTGGATATGAAACAGATCTGGATGCTGTTTGTTTAATAATACATTTGACTTGTAGAAAAATTGCAGATCCTGTGCACATGGTAAGTTAACTTTGGAGATGGCGAACTTCTGTCTCGAACAGAATGTCATGTAATTTATCATAGACTACTTAAATGTTCATCCAACTTTTTACATCTAATCACCATTCACATTGCATAACTAACTTCAATTTTCAATTAGTCATTACATTTTATGACTTAAGCCCAAAACAGTATAGCTAATGGAATTTTTCATAATACTTAAATTTTTCAATTTCAATTTTTCAATTTCAATATTTTTTAAGGCCATTATGTTTTAATATATCGTTCATGCCAAAAGCATTTTGTGAATGAGAAATATGGCAGAACATGAAAACATAGAACAAAGAAAACTTGGGCTTCTAGATGGACAAATGACAGTTTTTGCAACAAACTTTAAATGGTGTAAAGCTGTAAATGGCAAAAAATACAAAATCAATTTCAAAAGCTGCTAAGTTATGTTGCTCTCATATTGCATTTGATCCTATGACAGAGACTTTTAGATACATGATTTATGTCAGAATAAAAGATTCCCTAACAAAATACTATAAGCTACTATTTTTAGTTCGATTAGAAATGATTTTGCAAAATTGCAGCAGAATGTTTTTTAATTATGGTACTTCAGTATGATTTGTCATCAAGATAAACAAACAAACAAGCGTTACTCAGAATGCATACAGCTGTATAGGGATTTATTTCCTTTTAACAGTCAGGACAAGTCAGTTCCCCCTACATACAGACACTAAAAAGCACAGTTTGTTTACCTTGTTTACGTGTATATTTATTTACTCATTTAATTCATGTAGCATTAATTCTGTTTGACAAATGTAAACTGACCATCAGTTATGTTATAAAGATGTTCTAAAACTTATCGGTCATACACCTTCTATTGATGTCTGTGAAGTACACCAGCTGTACTAACGCCCTCAAACAACTCCACTTATATCCTCTCTTAAAATCATTAAATATCTACAGAACATAATACTCTTGTCCAAGATTATTTAATAACCAGGCAGTAAAGGAGAGGAAGATGAAAAGCCCACTCTTCTCTAAAATAGCAGTTCTCTCTATGAAAATACTAATGTTGCTGAATATAGAAATCAAATTGTTATAATTATACTATAAAACTTTTAAATATGATTCCAGTATATGGCAATTTTCAAATACAAAACAATTTTACCCAATTTTACTGCTGATAAGAAATAATTATTGCTGGTATTCTAAGGGCAATTTAGAACAACAAAATGATGGAATATTTTAATATCAGCCACCTAATATTAGAATATTATAATATTATGTAATTCGGAGAACAATTTTTCGTCTAAATAAAACGTCTTTGCAATCTAACTCTTGAGAAAACTATGTTGCTTTTTTACTTTTCCTTTCATATTGGTTATAATGACAAGGTATTTAAAACAAATTGAAAGTCTGTAAAAAAAAAAGATTTAGGGCACACTTTTTTAATCTTTAAAATGAGTTAGAATACTTGAGAGGGTGTGTCGCAAAAAATTACTGGGAGACTAAGAGTCTGACGAGAGAATCAAAATACAACATTTTCTTATAGGTCCTCATAATAAACACGTTTCTGAAACAACATTAAAACTCAACAAACTTTTATAATAGCTTTTCTATTCTGAATTACGAATTATTAAATCATAGCCTGTCAAAAAAAAACCCTCCTATTTTCTTATTTGACGATCATCACACAAAAAAATACTGACATGATATAGAAATGTAAAAAAAAAGCCCAACTTAATGTTTGGGGGTGATTGGGAAAGAAGAAAATCTCATCCCTGATAAATGGAATCATAACAGCAATACAAATATTAACAAATCTTGTGAAAATATTGACATAGGGTTGTGAAACATTGAATTGTTACCTACAGTAAGACTTTGTTCAGTTTTGTGTCCACATTCATTAACTATTTCAACTGGGAGGACAATAACGTACAATATGAGCAAACACTTTAAAATTTTTGACAACTCTCGAACACTTGTAGTAAGTCAAACCATGAATATTTTAGTGACCAGGGTAAGGTTAATCGCACACATTTACAACTAGAGGAATAAAGACGCATCAGTGTTGATCTACTTCTGTTTTTTAATACCTTTGATGGTTTTTCATTTTAGAAATGAACGAGTAACGATTGGGATATCATAATAATGACACTGTTACATTCTGTTTAATTACGCATGCAGCCATTTAAAACCGACATTAAAATATGATATCATATTTTGAACAAGGAGTAAAACACAGTTTCATTGCAGATCATATTTCTTTAGCAGCAGATCATTAAAATCATAAAATAAAAAAAATTCACGTTTTATCATTCTGTATTTGAAATTCATCGGGACACAAGACCAGATCTCGACTGTCGACAGTGACGGCCATTGTTCTTTGCGCAATTTTGAAAGATTTATTAAACAAGCAGCTTCTACAGCAATCTTCTTCTGCATTTCCTCAAGGAATAAATACCAATGATTTGGAAGTATGATGTTGTTACATGGTTAGGGTAATTGCTATGGTGACAGACTGATTGTTTCCTCAGCTCAAGAAAAACACAATAATGTGTCAAAATGTGCAACTTCTTAATCAAAAGCACATTTCAGTGTGCAAGACAAATTCTGAAATTCTTGGCCAAACTATAACATAGGATATGAAGCTGAAAATTAAAACATTAAAAATTTGAATTATCTAGTAAAAATTGACTTTCTGGAAAAACTCAAAACTCCAAAAAGCTCAAAAGTTACTACTGTGTCACATTGGATCTCAATTTCAGCAGGGTGTATAAAAATGCAAAGACAAATAAACAACATTTCTTGAATCGGTTTTAGTTCCTATCAAAATGTTTTTCATATTTTGTACTGTCAATCAAGTCTTTAATTGATGTGATTGTCACTCCAAGTAAGATTACATACGGCATATTATCAAGCTATACAACTGGAATATTATTAAACTACAATTATATACTATATTGGTCTGCGTGATGGTTCTTCAGAAGTACGGCCCCTAAAAACCACGCGAACAAGCATATTGGTATTGACATTGTCAAATAATGACATGTCACATTGTAAAAACTCTCTCATTGGTGCATATACAATATACATGTATTTTGTCAAATCAAACACTCTCTCTCATGACAAAAATGTATTAAACTGCCAAAGAAAGCGAGAGCAGCAGAGAAGTTGATACAATATTCATCGACAGAAGCCGATGTTTACCGATTCATTAGTGTTTTTCAATAATTAGTACTTACATTGAATATCAAGTGTTGCCTCTCCGCTCTGCAGCGAAAACCCTGTTGTAACGTTGGTCGCTATGCATTGGAATGGACCTGTATCTTGTTCTCGAGTCACTCTTAAAATCCGTAAATTACTCCCGTCCTGAAATCTTCGACTAGTGTTTGTAATTTGTTTTCCGTTGTGTATCCACTGAAACTGAATGTGTCTGGGATTTGAAACTCCACAAAGTAACATCAGTTCTGTACCTTCAATAACAGGTTGGTCTGTTGGTTTTAGATTAAAGTAAAATGTATCTTGTCCATTGCTCACACATATGCCTGAAAATATACAAAAAGATAATTTTTTAGACAACCTCAAACAAAGCAGATGATCACAGTCAGCACTTTAGTATATACTAAAGTGAAAATGTCATATAATGCAAGAAAGAAGTCTTTATTGTTTTATTGTATTTAATAAAGACGGCTTCTAAAAGATGGCCATATAAAGCCCCTTTAAAGAACCATACTGGCCTATCATCAATACCAGTAAAATAAAAAATAATTTGAAAATGACTTTAACCAAATCTCAGAGCCGACAAAATGATGAATGGTCACAAGACAGAATAGTCGTGCATACATGTAATTCATAATATATTCTTATAATAATTAATTATCTTTTAGTTTTACAATATCATCATAATCTTTAAAGGGAGTCAGAAAGGAAAGAGGCCTAAGACTTGGTTTGTTTGATTGGGTTTTACATCACACCGGCACAGTATAGGTCATATAACGACCTTCCAGCTTTACTGGTGGAGGAAGACCTCAGGTGCCCTTCCATGCATTATTCCAAGCATGAACATGCACCTGAATAGAACCACCGACTTTGTATCACATATCCTAAGGGAAGGGAATATTCATAACATGCCTCATCAGATACATGTAGCATTATTCTTACATGCCACATATCAATATGAAGCAATGGTAAAATGATAATAAAGTATTACTTTACATACAACTTTATAAACAATAAAGACATTATTATTGAACTTAATATCAGAAATTTTACTGAATTTGAAATAAAATACCAATATGCTATGAACTTAAGGATTGAAATGTCACTTTAGCTTTTTTCTGATGCTATTTGTACAAGGACACATTATGGTAATATTTGTAAATTTTTGTAAATTAACGTTGGTTTTTTATCTCGTTCAATTTCCGAGAAATCCAAATATCCTTCTAATGAACTTCCTGCAACTTTCAAGAACTGTTTAGTTTTAGGGAACAGCTGCCTTGTTTGTCATGTGATGTTTTGAGATATAGCTCGTGAAATATTCTCTGATAGTTACAAGTGTAAGAATGGTGATTAATGGTGCTTCACTGTGTAATCTTGTGCACCCAGACACATGTTTCAAAAATATAAAACTGCAGGAATAGTAGGAATTCATAAAAACATCTGTGGATATTTCTCCCCCTGTCTTCAATTTTTTAACTAAGACCGTTTCAATTTGAGATTAGTTTCTTAGTATTTGTCTATTGACATGTTAACAATTGTAGAATGCAATGAATTTTCAGCTTAATGTATTGTTTTTGTAAAAACCAAAATTTTTGCAAAGCCTTGCAAAATATAATTATAATTACTGTCGCAAATGTAGCATAAGTGTAAAACCATTTCGAATTCTTGTTAAATGCTTTAATCATATATATATGTCTTATCAAATGATTTTTGTTGTTTGGTACAAACAACCACACAATTTTTTTAACAATTGTCCAGAACTACTTTTATGCACACTTAAGAGCTGCTGACTGCATGTGTAACCTTACAACTGCAAAAAAATTTCACTTTGGACCAAAAAAGCATTAACTCCTTATGGTTTTGAATTTAATAAATGGTTACAGTTGCTTTTATTGATCAAATGTGTTAAACCTTATTTTCTGAGAATTTAAATTGCACCAGACTTGCGGTTCCCAATAAATTCATTGTTTTCAACAATTATATCATTAATAAAGAGTGCTTGGTGCTTTGTGACATTTTAAACAAAGTGTTTGACTGCTGTAATGTATTGATCATTCAAATTGGAATTCAATATAAATTGCATCTGAATGCATACATTATAAAATGTTTTTAAAATTTGTATATAACTTTTAAGATTATATTATATCTTTAAACCATTTAAATATTTTTTCAAAGACGTGAAATCTCTCCAGTGACCACAGCATCTATGCAGCTGACATAGAATCCTACATCTGTCAATAATCATGTAACAGCAGACGCAGAAATGATGATGAAAATAGCGTAATATATTTTTTTGTAATTTAGTACTGGAGAACATATTAATCAAAATATGACAACACTGGATGATGTTCCTCGTAGGTTATTGACACAAGAAATAATAATTGACAGTAAAACGACAGTTGTGAAGTTTCTTACACATATAATCACGTAAGGAGGGAAAAGTCAGTTACTTTAATTTACATCCGCAATGGCATTTGTTACTTTAATCTCTGAGAGAAGATATTTGATTTTCCATACCCTGAATTTGTGTTATGGATTTTCCCTGCTTTGAATTCGGGACAGTCCATTCAAAATTTAAAGAATTTCAATATCAAAATTCTTAAATTGAGCTGCCCACAGACTGGCCTGGTTCTATACCAGTAGTTCCTTGACAGGGTATGATTTATGCTTTATATCAGGTTAAAAATAGAATAGTGCAAGAATTAACTTTAATTTTAATATTTCCAGTTTTTTTTAATAATTTTTGCAATAAACGATTTATTAAGGGAAGCACCCTCAGAGGTCCTCCTCCATAAGAAGTTCTATGACAGTTTTGAGTGCCTCCCCATCTTGAGTCTCAACAAATGTCTCCCAATTATAGCATCTCAGAACTAGCTATAGTACACAGGGCTGAGTGGACCTGGGCGAGACCTGGTTAACTAAACTAAGATTAATGGTGCTGACTTTAATATGAAGAAATATACTTATGATAAAAGACCAATTCTTAGAATGGCTTATTCTTTTCAACTTTCTCATGAAATGATAATGTAAATTCTTACTATTACAAAATATGTCATAAGCAAAATTTCACCCATGACTATAATATAACATGTTCTTACTACCTACTGTAGGTAGACAATAATGTATCCTCACCTTCCCTTTGTACAATACCTTCAACCATACTGATCATGCTGGGCAAAAGGGGATTTACCAACTAAAATGCCTTACAAAGCTAATTGAATCCAGAAAAAAAGTGACAGGCAATTTGATTGATGTGAAGGACATCAAACAAACAACAAAAGATAGATTATATATATTGCAACAAAAGGTTTGGAACTATGGTGTGAGTGTGACCTAAGAATGATGAAGACCATGGATGTAACATTACTACAATAGCTTGCTAACTACATGAAAGCCAACTATATGACTGTATGTATGACTGATGAAGTGAGGTATCCTCTGTCTATTTTACTATCTCCAGGAAGGCAAGGGAATGATTTAGAGATGAAACATGTGTAAATAGTTCCTAGTTATTGGTAGTAATATCATGGGTGGAGAAAAATTCCCCCACAAAGAGCCATATCTCAAAGAAATTTCATAGTTCTTCACTGTAATAACTCATGCTGTATAACATTGTTAATTACATGTTCTGAAAGACTAGAGCATTATATGGGAGAGTTACTTGCCAATAAATGAATAAAAAACCTGCTTTTATTGCATTATTTTTCTTCAACTCTGATGTTCTGCAGTGTTAAATTTATAACCTTTAGCATGGCACCTGTGTTGATTTTAATGTTTTTCATGTAACATGTTTATGTATTTGGAAACTATATTAATTTTGAAATTAATTTGCTGCATTTTTGACTATTTACTTTCCTGTAAACCTAATAATTATGTTTAAAGTGTGAAAAGGATGTTAAAGACTGCATGTCCAGTATTAAAGCCACTTCCCCCCCCCCCACTCTAATACATGTACGTATTATTTCTCAATATAAAACCGAACAGGATAACTTAGGTCTACGGCACCATTTAACATTAACAACAAACAAAGGAAATACCTTCACATATCACGTTTAATGAATGAAATTTGTTGGGGGAAGCAATGAAATACCTCTCCGCGGCTTTATCTCAGCTCAAAGGCAAACCGATTCCGTCTCGGAAACTTAATCAGTGTAATAACTGAGATTGATGTGTCAAAAATCGCCAAATAGTCCCATTTTTGTACCATTAGTGCATGAGGATAATGATAACTGATCTGGACCGAGGTCTGTTCATTTACACTTTACTAATCATTTACAATGAAACATGGTGTATAATGGATGTAGTACAATGACCTACAGTGGTAAATCATCGGCTAAATCATGCTACAATCAAAGGAAATTCATTTACCGATACAAATTCGAAAACATTTGAAAAATGAAAAAATGAACACTGAATACAATTGCTGATGAGAAATAACATGAAAATTAATAATTTACTAAAATTGTAAAGAATTTTACACGCCTCATGACATTTAGCTCAATGAAGACTTGTTGGGCGTGTTATTCTGGATAAAAATCACTTTTAATAGCTTTTTCAATAAAAAAAAATGAAAATCGTTCAATTTAAAATCATGCGCTGTAATACATACTAGAATTTATTATATTTTGTAGTCTGCTTTTCATAAAGTTTCATACAAAATGAAAATACAATTAGAATTTGAACAGCCTTGCGAGCCTTATTGAAGCAACAGGCGCCACTTAAAACCTTTTACTTGTCTTATTTATTTGTCACGTTTCAAAAAGTTGTCAAATTTGTCCTGTCTGAGTTTAATGGAACTTCTCCGCAGATGTTTCACAAATCGAGAAACTTGCGGGTTATTTTAAAGAAAATGCAACACTTCAGTCAACAGTGAAATATTTATCTGTCACTCAAAATGCGAAACAATTTTCAAACATGGCAGGTTTATAACGGTATAATGTGTAATTTTAACGAGTTATGTAATCTAAACAATATAATTTCAATTAACTGTGGAATATGATTACAGACCATACAGCGAGCATAAATGCGACTCAAAACAAAGAATTTTTTATTAACCATACAAATTTGAGAATCTATTAGAAACAGTTACACGTTATACTTATAGATATGTTCCTAAAAAATACACTAAAAAATAAAATGGCCATAGATTGTAAAGTATTTTTATGTGACGGTTCTGAAACATTCACATTTGTCATACATACATGTAAGTATGTCTTCCTTCAATAGCCTTGTAAGCTACACAGTGATGAAATGTCCTTGACCTTGTGTAAACGGAGGTCATGCTAGTTCCAAACTTTAAAATCTTCTTTCTCTGCTCAGTCGAGTTTTAAGACTTTAAAAAAAAACTTTTCAAACAATTCCACATTACAGAGTTAGATGAAAGTTTTTTAATGTCATAAGCAAAATTCAATCTCACAAAGGAGGCAAGTAGATAAAAAAATTAAGTAAAACTGCAAGAAACCCTCAAAATGGATGCGCCCTAACCATGCATTGTAATCTTTTGTAGTTTCAGGGAATTCAGTATCAAATAATGATAACGAGACAGTATGATCAGACAAAACTAATATATGCAGACTATATCCTAGCTATAACTGGACACATAGATTTGAGCCGCGTCAAGACAAAACCAACATAATGGGTTTGCGACCAGCATGGATCCAGACCAGCCTGCGCATCCATGCAGTCTGATCATGATCCATGCTGTGCACTTACAATTCCTATAACAAATAGAGAAACTGATAGCGAACACCATGGATCTTGATCAGACTGCGCAGATCCATGCTGGTCGCAAACCTATTATGTTGGTTTTGTCATGACGCGGCTCATTTGTCATTTATGCTCAAAAGAAGAAAGGTTTCTGATCATACAGTAGGTTTCATTAAACATTAGGACTACCACAATGATATACAATTTGTAATAATACATTTTTTACATTAAAACTTTTTTTCAGGTCTTAATAAAATAGCTTATGACCTTAGAGGGACACAGGAAAAAAGGTGATGTCAATTTAAGCTTCCTTGAAAAAATTAACAGAGTTTTTACTTGACCAGAGAATCAGGAATATTGTATTTTTGTTTCAAAATTGTTTATTCATTGGTTTATTTTGCCTGGTAGCTAACTTTCCATTTTCATATTGTTTATTTTGCCACATGAGTATCAGAGGTTTCAAATGACTTGTATAACAGAGATGTAACAAAATCTAAGTTCTTGATCTATACTGTAGTAATATTACATAGCAAAAACAAAATGTCGATATTGAATTGATTCAGAACTTATATAGACATATATACTTATTTTGATATGAAAACCTTTAAAATAAGCTTGTAGGGATTCACATAAAAATCATGAATAATTAAAGTGAAATCATTCACTATATGATTTGATTATTGACATTTCCATTCATAGTAAATTCATTCTGAAGTATTAAAGTAAACTTGCTCAGGATATATTTATTCATCTTCAAGTTGTTACAAGTCAATAAGCTCAATATTGTATTAAAAAATAGGTTCTGCCGCGACAATGCTCAGCTATAAACAGATACAATATGTGTATCTAAACTTAATGGCCTCTTATAACGGCCTTGTGTTTGAGGAAGTTGACCGTCTGCTGCTTCGATAATACAAAAAAAGGATTATTTAAGTACTGAAACTGTCACCGTCACAAAAAACTATGATTAACTAAGACTGCCAGCATGAGTAAACAACTCTAAACGTCACTTTTAAAATGACGTCAAACGGCGTTTTACGTTTAAAATTTCTCATGAGATGTTGCAGATATTTATTTAGGATAAGTAAGTTTCCAAGAGAAATTATATTCTTAAAAAGAAAGCAATGTTTTCTCAAGCCGGCAGTCATTATTATTATAATATATATATACATGTAAGCTCATCAAATTTTCATCCTCTCGACAATTTCAAATTAAATAAAAAAATATATTTTTCAGTCCGCTTGATTAAATTACTTATAAGCAACAAGAAAAAACATTACAGAATATGTTCTTCAAAGCTTAACTTAATTAAGCCAAGGAGGCTAACACACAACAAAGGGCATCCTTTCTCAACTGGTGTCTTGTTTTATATCAAATTAGTCAACTGTTGATGCAAGGGCAATTATAAATCAGTGATGTTAATGCAACATGACATAAATGAGTCCCTCAACTTTAAACAAATCAGTGTCAAAGATATAAGCATTGCATAATTTGACCACTGGCTATTTTATAGGTTGACCTGACACCCCAGTAGTCACAAAAGAAGAGATAATACACCCTTAGAGGGTTGAGTACCATTGTTATTCGCTTGTTACAAATTTCAAGATAATATCTTTCCCTTCCCAATTTAAATTTTTTCAATCCAACGAAAAAGTACACAGGAAAATAATTGCTGAATTAAATTTGCCAAAGTTTACTGCTCCACTTTTAAAACAAACTCTGTGCCTTGTAAACGTTTTAAAATACATTTAAAAACCATTCATATCTTTTTAAAGAGTTTTTGACAGGAACTGTACTTTTTGTGTTATCTAAATGTAAGAAAGAATGCAGTAAAACAATGTTTGACGTTTTTAGAATTTTCCATCAACTGATCTATCAGACATGTTTAGATTAAAAGACAACTTTTTTTTCCCACCTTTTTTCCTCTTTACTTTGATATATCTCAAGTAATCTTCTAAACTTTATCAACTTTTGACTCACTTTTACAAACTTACTGGCAAAAACTGTGCATTATCCTTCAATTTGCGATGATATTTTGTGGTTTAAATGATATATTTATTGATAACATTGAAAAATTAAAAGCATTATACACTTAAAGTAACACAAATCAAAAATTATCTATGACAACTATCCGTTACGTAATCACTCATTTTAGAGAAAACGCAACAAAAACTTATTTTAATAAAATGAAAACGTATACATACAACTGTTATGAAATGTATATGTCTTGCATAGATTTTGAAAAGTAAAAAAATATTTTTTAAAAATTTAAAAATTTAAATCTTTTTTTTTTCTATGTAAAATGTGAAAGTGAGATAGAAATCTCTAAGGTCATCATCAGATTATATCATAGAGCATAGGTATGCATGAACACCCTTAAAATATGTACAATTGAAGATGGTGAAAAAGATACAAAAAGTGTTGAATAACATTCATAATAAAGTGCATATGATGGTGTTATGATAAAAGATGTATACTCTTCTCTACCAAATAAGAAAAGTCTATGCCATCACTGTATGAGGCATTTTGGGCATTATTCTGATGTACCAGCTACAGTCTCAAGAGAATTTTCAATGTTGACCGCTCAATTTATTCATCGTTATATATATAATAATACTGAAATCGCCTTTGATTTAAAAATGATTCTTTCATTGAATGGACAATGGTTTATAATTATCAGTTTTTTTTCTTGCCATAATATAGATTTCACAAATGTCACAAGCAAAACTGTTGATTATTCCTCAGAGGCAACTTTAACTGTGGAAAGTAATTCTGAAAATAGCTTTTTATGGAAAAAAATATATTATGTATTTAATACAAATATTACATGGGGAAAAGGGAATATTTTGATTGGTTTCCTTAATATGCTTTTGGTTCATTTTCAATTATCACGCTTAGGTAAAATTTCCTTTTAACTGCATTAGTTGTTGCACAACTAAAAGAAAAAATAGAAAAAAAAATATGTATATATGAGTAAAAAAGTACTTAGTAAAAAAATCAGCATATAATGTTGAAAATGTTGAATTCCATTACTTTGTCACATCTTATATTCATCACTAATATCTACATATCAATGGGACCATTTTAGAAGTGATTAATTTCACAGTGAATTAACCAGTTAACCCAGTTATCAAAACTGTTACTTACTATCTGGCAACCATCTACAGTTATTATGTAAGTTTATTACCTATACTAATTATGTGGTTAGTAGGAATTAATTGAAATTGACATAGGAAGATAATAAATTCTGCCTCACATCACCCCAGGGTCACTAGAAAGGTGTTGTAAATTGTACATGTAGACATTTGATGCAGTCATGTATAATAATGTCAACTGTCTGTAATAGCAGGGTCCCTTTTTATTAACTGATTTATCATTAAAAGATGACATGGGACAAAGGTGGGAAATAATGTAAATATTCATTGAAAAGAAAATAACTGACCCAATGCATTCCATGACATACTACAATCATAGATATAAATCAATTAAAGTTCAGTTTTCATAGTTTGATTGATGTATTTATTGTGATTTCTCCATCACAATTCAGATACATAACAAGCAATCCATTTATGTCATTTAAAGTATTTATCTCACTATGTTTAGTAAAAATGACCCTTTATAACTGTATTTTCCTGTACTGGTTGCAATGTAATTTTAATAAGTATTAAGTAACTATTATTGTTGTTTTTTGTTTTAGAAATTAACAAATGTTTCAAGCCACTATAGTCAAACGAAGGAACCTTAATGTTGAATAAATAAAGGCAATGCAAAACGGCGAAACACTTACGAATCTTTTTGTTGAAAATATGTTTGCAAGTGACATTACCTTTGCACGAGAAAAGTAGTATGCATAAGAAAACTGGATTATATAAATTAAAATACCTACCACATAAAATCACAAATAAAATTGACAAACTTAAATCCAAATATCGGGATTTATCCATTTTTTGTGCAAACTGATAAATTCACTAACTGTAAGTAATCACATAGCGATGGTAAATACAATTTAATCCTAAATCTTCCGTTACTCTTCACTCGCGACTGTCTTCTATTGAAGTGAATGACACCGCCTCCTGATAGACGGTGACGGGTAGTAAAAGTAGTTCTTCAGAAAGTTGTAATTTACTTTTCAATGAGTCACTTACAAATAATTTTGATGCATCTACTGTATTAAAGAATCATGTTTTATTTAAATTTTAGGAAAAAGAAAGGTTTGTTAACGGAACATTTTCAATTATATTTATATGTTATTCATGCGCGCACATGTCAGTCTGACGGGAGACTCCGCCCATTTGACAGACATTGTAAACAACGTGTTTTACTTTCGGTTTCATTTTAAAAACTTTCAATGATTATTGGTCATGACAAAACGATTAAACGTAATAACTTGTAATATATTAGCATATAGTTGTTAAAACATCTGCGGCTATTTAGTATATTACGAAAATAAATAATAATTGTTTAGAAATATAAAGCACGAAATTCCGAAGTATTTAAAAATAGCTAGTGCATGCATATTCTCGGTGAGTTTAATAGCTTTAACATTACCATTCAATTACAAGTAGCAAATGCAACTCCTTGGTACGTAAGATACAAATCACGTTTTCTAAAATTTTGCGAAATATAACCAAGTTTTTTTTCTCAACTAAGGGAAACAACTTGATGAAATTTACATCAGCATTGTTACCTCCCTTATAAGGTGTCATTTTCTTCTAGTGAATGTTTGTTTTGAATGGGGAAGCGTCATTTTAACTTTAATTTCATGGAAATCAAAGCATTTCGTCGTAATTGTTCGTTATAAATGAATGAATTGGATATAGGCCTCACGAGTTAGTTCCTATATTATATGTAACGGTGTCTGAATACAGTGCACTTAGTGAACGGCTATATTTTATTTTATAAATCATATCTAGACGCTTCTAGCGACACGTTTTGTTAAAGAAACATCACAAAATAACAACAGTAGTTATATAACATATGACCTTGGTAATCACTAGCAACGTGCAACACATTCTATGGACCGCATAATCTCAGAAATAGATGGGTTTGTTTAGAGCAAACCAATTACCAAGGAGGCTTATCAGTTCTTTATTGCCCAGTGCTAATCTTAACGACAGTGATGTGTTTTTTTCGCTTTAATTTTACTTTACCTCATCTATGATGTAGCGTCTGAATTATCAGAAAAGGCAACATCTTTAGTCATATTTTAATTAAGAAACGAAGACTCTTATCATTTCCAGTCGGCTACCTTGCTCAGATCCTCTGAATTGTTAGGCTTGATCTACAAATGAAACTATAGGTAATACTACTCGACACCTCATTCTTTGTGATGCACGAAGGCACGGGCGCACGAGGGACTAGACAGCGTGACCTCTCTAAATTAATTTGCGCCAATCATACGACTCAAGAATGTGAGTTTGAGTTACGACATAAACCATCAATGTCCAGTAGTTATATAGATTATGCATTTCTTTGCAATTTCTTTTGTTAATGATATTCAATGAAGCCCCTTGTGGCAGTGGGGTTCCTTGAACGGTTGAGGCATCAGAATTGCAGCCACAGTTTATCCTTGTGTGATCGTAAGAGGCGACTAAATGGGTTCGAAAATCTGAAGTCTATGCATCTCTTAGCTCCAGCAGGTGAGGTGGTTTTGTTTGAAGGGTTTATCGGTTTCGGCGCTATAGGTCTATGACCTTTACTGTGTTGGTGCACCGTAAAGCCAACCGACCAAACAAACAAAAAATATTCGATGAAATATAGTAAGACAATCTGGCTTGTATAACAAATCAACAAGAAGAAAACCCATCACATGTCTCGTTGGAGTTAAACACATTGGGGTGGAGTAGAAACGGTAATTTAGGCGTAGATAATAGAAATTGTTATAATTTTCTCGGCAACAATGGAAAGATAAACCTACCATTATACTAATGCTAAACGTGACCGTCACGCCCATTGTCACGATCAAGTTCTAGGAAGTTAAAAACAGTTGCTTACATATGTTTAGCGCAGAAAACTCGTGCACTCTTGTCATATAAAAATACGCCATACAGAAGGTTTATATCAACTCATTAAAACATATAAAAAAAGTATTTTAATTGAAATATGTCTTCATGTTATAAAATGCGTCGATTTTATATTAACAAAAAATAAAGTTGCATTATTATTTTACACAATCTGTTTGCTATATAAAATGAAAGTAGAGCCTTGTACATTTTATGAGAAACAGATTTGTGAATGCTGAAAAAGCTATTATAATTTCTCCTACAAAGGAGCGCTTAAGTCACTAATTGAGCATGTTTTCATAGCTAGCCCCAGGGGCGAGCCTTTAATGTTGAATCCCCTACCACGTGCACTGACAGACGAGCGTGAGGTGGCCTGAAACGTACGTTCGACCCCATATGAATAACTTCCGATAACTTTTTCTGATGTGAACTGTACTGAAAATTGAAATTATTAATCATAAAACAAACTTGTTTGCTCATCAACGAATTGAAATGACTTTTATACCATCATTGATCACAGTTCACGTTTTCTCTTGAAACGGTTCACTAATCATTGCACATCCAGACTACGTTCAATCAAACATGGAAAAACGATCAAAAATAGGATAAGAAAAACAAATATTAGCCCAGTTTATGAAGACATTTTCTGTTTTTATTAATTTTTTTTGTTCAATATTGAAAGAATCCAAATTTTTTATTTTTTTTTTATTTTTCATTCCAGTCTTTGATAATCATTTGCGTTTGTACTGATGGGATTACAATGTTGCTCCATGTGTTTTAGATATGCTCATCAAATGGTCATCACTGTGGTCAACATTTGGTAAAGCATTTTAGGAACAAACAGCATGTTGTTTGGCAAACATGCAAACCATTAAGTCGTCCATCTTCACGTCTCTTGTATCAATTCTCACGTGCAGTAAAATTCCCATGTATCAATTCATACATAGAGTAAATCACTCAGTCATTCCAGTTCCTGAAAAATCAGCTGCATTTTTGAAATGACTGCAAAGTTAAAAGTGTGCGAGAGCACGGCTTTAATTTAATAAGTTAAGATTTTAGTTGTTATAAATATACTAGTACATGTATGCTCATCTTTGGGTAAAATACTTTCGTTGCAGAAATTTAATAAAATCTATTAATTTCTTTCTGAATATGTCTAATTTGAATACTAGTAAGTGAATGTCGGTAGTTGCATTCCCTATTACTTGTCAAATTAATTTGATTTTGGTCTATTCTAATAAAAACAAATTAATTTGATTTTGGTCTATTCTTATAAAAACTGCCAGTTTTTTTAATGACACTATATAATACCTGTCGTGTGTAGAGTTTAAAACATAAGATGTATCCAAAAGATATTTATTTTACATTTCAAGAGACTGTACTGTATAGTAATTACATTGTATTTTCTTTTTTTTTCAAATATCAAATTTGAGCATAATATATCTCTGCAAGTAAACCTATAATGGTATTCACCATTTCCTATATATTTTGCATAAAGTCTCATAATAACAGCAGTATAAAAAGTATTTAATTTTTGTTCAGAGGTAGACAAAACGAGACATGATTGAATATAAAAACAATAAATTATTTTATTTCTTGTGTTGTATAAAAACTATGCCTCAGACATTATTTCATTTTTATTTCTCAAAAGATTTTTATTTCAGTCTCCTGTTATAGTTTCCAAAAAGTCACACATTGGCCAATTACCTGAGCCATCTTTTACTCCTGATGCATTTTTGCAATTTGTACAGTTATAGTGATTTAGTATTTTGTATGGAAGTCAAAATAATACTTGGTTTACATTTTGCTATTTTCATGACAAATAATTCCACACTCAGCGCTAATTTCTTCACGTGCTGAAGATCTAACATGTTTTAAAACCATTATCTAAACATTTTAAAACTCATGTTTATCCTAAAGTATGAAAATATTTTTTATTTTTTAAAGCATAATGTGCCTTTGAAAGGCCTCACAATTCTATCATTTTAATTTCTAAAAAGCTTTGAACTCCACTGAGGTTTAAAAGCCTAAAATCATAAACTTAAATTCTCTATCAAGATCAAATGATGCATTTTAAAAATGTACAACGGATATCAAAGAAATATTCTTCGAATGATTTGAAAATCAATATTCTTTGTGCGATTTTTAGCTTGATTTGAGTGAAAAGCATTGCAACCTTTTTGGGTCATTTTGCAAAATAAAAATGATGATTCTTGAAAAACAGGGTGAGGTTACGATCTAAAATGTTTCACGCAACTTATTGCTCCAGACTTACATAAAATGATGTATCAACTGACGAAGCTAATAAAGCGAAACATGTTTTGATATTTAAATTTATGTTGATTTTAGATCTAATTGACCTATAAAATGTTATACAAGTCTTAGAAAAAAATATTCCCGGTCACATCATGTTAAAAACCGCAGTGGAGTCCCTTTAATGTAGTGTTATAGTTTCCATAATGCTACTCATTGGTGTTATCTCTGAAATACGTTTTGTTTCGTTTGCTTTTTGTCCATTTGTAAAGTCACTACATTTTTCACGCGATCAGCATCTAACCTTTTTTAAACCGATTATTAAAATATCATAAAACGCATGTTTGCCTTTTCTGGAGAGTCATAATGTGTCTTTTAGTTTTGATCTTCCATTTTTTAAAATCAGTCTTGCGGAAATTGCCTATCTTCAGTTACGATTACTAAGTTATGTTAACATAAATGTTTTTTTGTGTTCTTGTACATTGTGCTCTTCAAAGATATTGGAGGAAATTAAATTATATATTATTCTCCATTCGGAATATAACGGAAAGGGCAAAACAATGCGATTGTATTATAGCAGCGAATTGTTGTACCCTTGAATTTAAACATACATTACATTACATACATATACGCAGGAAGAGTAATCGTCTCTCCAGTAACGACTGAATAAATAATCAGATGAATGCAAATTTAAAGTCATAGACCTAATACTTACGTTTGGCATAAACAGAAGACTTGCGGTTACAGAGAGACTAAAAGATTTACAGTGAATGTAAAGAAGATTCAGTGTTTCATAT